ATTGTATTCGGGAAGCAATGATGACACGTTGTCGAACGCATTTTTCTGTCCACTCGCAGACTTTTAGACAGTATCGCGCAATATGGAGTAAAGTTAAATTCCGACTATATTGCTTTCAGAACTGTTCACGCGTTACTTGGAACTCATGATTCACCAATTTATGGAAATGTCTTCTGACGTCATGAGAAATAACAACCGCGCATTTGATGTAAAACTTCCCCTTTTCTTTTTTGTATTATCTTACGTACTATAATATTATATACGTATAAATATAACGTCTTGTTGGAATTCACACATATTTCCCCATACTCTTTGAGGCAAACGGCATTAATAATGCGTCACCCGTTAACGCTCGTTCGCAGAAAGGCACAACATTGATCACAATTTCATAGAGCGAGAAATTTACATTAAAAAAAGGAGATTACAAAAATCGCGATACCATGCTCAAAACTGAAATTATTTCACACTATTCCGTCCCGATAAAGACGAGGTATATGTGACATAAGGGTTTAACGACGACTAACTGCGAGAGAGTGGCGTGCACACGGCATGGTCGGGCGAGTTCGACTGGTGGTAGCAAAGGGGTGGAACGCACTTGGCTGGCTGGGGCTACCCAGCTACCTGCTTACCAGCGACCTGACAGACACCTCAGTGCGCGCGTGTGGTGACAGGTGCTAGATTCCCTCTCGCACAGGTGGACCATGTACACGCGTCGCCAGACCCACTAACGACTCTCTTTCTCTAATACTTTCCTTTTCGTCGACCCTTCCCTAACTGAAATCAACGGAGGTGCTCGTAATCCCGTTCATGGCGATTGGCGAGTGCGAATATACGAGTGGCGACGCTGAAATATTTCAGATCGCAGATGACATATGTCAATAAGACGATTACATTAATTAAATTAAGATATTCGTCGGTTACGTAATGCATATTTCAGCAATGTATGGATATCTTATTGAGTCTTTCCAAACATTTGAAATATAAAGATCCGAATTATTCCAAATATTATTTGAAACTGGAAAAACGTGAAAATCTTAAAAATTTTTTAAATTGTAAATGTCTTGAACATCTAGAAAATTTATCCTTCAATGTATTTAAATCTTAAGTATATACAGAATCTTACAAACAAAATTGTTATCGATTATGTTAGTAAATAAAATAAAGAATAAATAGATTTGATAAATTTCGAACCCATCACTAATTCTAAATTTTCGTAAACTAATCTTTTTTGTAAAAAAAATATTCTTAATAATTAAATAAGTATATTTCAAGGCTCTAATGAACATAAATACAATTAATACAATATCTAGGCTATTCGAGCCGCGCTAGATGCTTTTTGCGATTTTTATTTAAACGAGTCAATATAACTTGTCGAATCATATAATTTTATTTATTGACTTGTTTGATAAAAATCGCAAAAGATATCTAGTGCGGTTCGAATAGCCTAGATATTGTATGAATTGAAAAAATATTCTAATTTTTTAAAGGAATTTAAACGGATAAATTTTAAAATATATAATAATATATTTACGTCCAATTTTAATCTAACTATATATGTAAATACATTGTAGATAGTTCTTTATTATTAATGCCAAAATATATATAAATTTATTTTAACAGATTTTTTATGATCTCTATGTTTGTACATATTTATATCGATAACAAGCCGTTTTACTTTTTAATTGCAAAAATGTTGTTCATCGTAAAACTCTTAAAAAATAATTATCTAAAATAATTATCTAAAAAGAATTTTTATTAAGAAATTAAAATTATGTTATAACAAATAATAATTTCATAAATTAAAATTATGCAAAACATAATAAAATTACAGAATTTTTATTATATTTTGTCATAATCTTAATTACTCGGTAAAAATTTTTACATGCACAAATATACATATATAATTATATATAAATATTCAAAAACATACATAATTATACATGAAATATGTCCATACATGTCCATACTTCCTTCTTTCTTTAATAAAATTACTTAGTATAATAAATTATTTAGTATAATAAAAATAATAATAATAATATGAGAAAACATCAAAAAGAATTAAAAGGATAATTTTCGCATTGTTTCTTCTAGAAAAAAAAATTAAGTTTGAAATGTAAAAAAATTGCTCATGTATAATTATGTATAACTTTATATATAATTACATATGGTATATATAGAACTTTGAGCTTTTAATATTATCAATACCAGACAAAATTTCTTTTATGCTATTAAAAAGTTAAAAGAATTGCCATATACTTTTGAAAAAATTTACATAATTTTCCCTGCTTTTTACGAAGGATGATTAATTTCAGATTTTTCAAATGTACTATCTATACATATAACAAATGAACGAAGGCGGTATACGCGCACTTCGTTCTGTCAGTGTTATGTAGGCGGGGGTGAACGCAGTTCGCCCACTCGTCTTGGTACAGGTGCCTCCATTGATCGAATCGAGGGAGGCAGCGACCGCCAGTTACGATAAAGCCGGCGAGCGAGAGGGGTAAAACCCACGGCTATTCGACCGAGATGAGAGCATGGCGGATTTACCCTGGACATCATCATTGGTCGACGTCCATGCGGAATCGTTAGTACGAGATTCGTCAGCCTACTGACTCAACAAAGACGTGGGACAGTTGCGTACGATACGTATACGTAAATGTTTTTGGGTGTTTTACAGACAATAGACCCTCTTCCGGGAGCAGAAGGAAAAAATATCACGACAAAATATGTTTTTGTAATAAAACAACAATTCTAAGGAGATAAACGCTTCCAAAAATGTGTGCGACGAAATTTTATTTCAACTTATATGTATACACTGCCGATCAAAAGAGATCTTTAATTGAAAATGTCTAAATAAAATCAAACTTATATATAATTATATATATGCATTATAATTTAACAATTTTTATTATTTTACTCATTGTTTTATAATGAAATAAAAAAAGTAATATAAAATATTTTTACAAAATTTTTTACAGAAAAAGCATATTAGAAAAGAATATTTGGTACTTTTTCCATCAAAGTTACGTTTATATTTACTTTTTTTGCTAATTTAAGTAATCTTGTTGCAAGTTTATTTATTTTTTAGAGTTTATTTACAATTTTAGAAAAAGTTTTTTCATGGCCGTAATCTATTTTCTTGACATTAAACAATGTTATATTAATCAAAATATAAATGAAAAATTAATTTATATAATTATATTGTACATTATTCAACAAGGTTTCGATAATATTGATAAAACTTATATTTTGTGCTTTTTATGTCTAATATTAAAAAAATTGTAGCACGACATATTTGTATAGTTAAAAAGACTTGTTTTTTGAACATGTAAATATGCGAGTTATTCCCATAGATCTTGTGTAAATGCAACAAATAAATTACGTGTGTGACTATTGCATTATGAAATTACAAAGTAGATTGCTTATAAAGAAAGCTTATAACTTATATTTATTGTAAATTTGGAAATCAGAATAAAAGTTGAGTCTCTCGTATGTGCTATATATGTTATTATGTACTTTTTTTCACATGGTTGAAAAAAAACCTAAAAAAACCTTTAAACTCATCTTACGATATAAAAGTGATTGAAAAAAACAATAAAAAGCAGATATTTCCTACTTCAAATGACGTTCTAATAAATATTTTGATAACAAAAAAGTTGTACGTGCTATAAAGATTCATTGATATTTTTGTATTCAGTGAGTGTGAAAACGATTAAAAACTCCCTTATTTGATTTATATTATCAAAAAAATTCTATTTGTTGACTAACGTTATTGGCTTGAAAATATTAATACAATAGTATAGCTGCAGGAAGATATATGTCTATATCTGAAGGAATGGAAGTAACTCGTTATTTAATTGCAAAAAGAGAGCGAGCGTGACAAAGCAGACAGCACACTGGTCTGCTAATAATGCTAGAGATCTTGGGTTTGATTCTCGATAGAATCAAAATATTTTCATACATTCGTGTCTCCTCTCAAAAAGAAGCGGCAATCCAACGAGAGTATCTTTGCCAAAAACACTTGTCTAACAAAATTTCTTCGTTTGGAATCGACGTTAAACTGTAAATCCCATATGATTGTGTACCACCAGCGTACACATTACAGGCATATGAGAGAAGTCACTACGCTCGGCTACGAGCAATAGGTAAGAAGAAGATAAGAGTTATAACCCCGTTACCGCGTTACAAGTTATTTTTTTTAGTAACGGACTGGGAACAGCATTACCTTTTTCTTTTGATAACTGTAACAGCAACGTAATATTTTTGTATTAAAAAAAAATTATTAAAAAAGCTTGCGTCTATGATTTGACAAAATGATGGCGAATCGTTAGCAAATTTATAAGATATCTAAATGTCCCAGTGGCCGGATGTTGAAATGTAGGTTGTCACAAATAATATAATTTATAATGTTAGAAAGGTTTGTAATATAAATTGTGTATTCATTTGAAAACTTAAGACTCCGTTAAGCAAAGAAAAATTATTTGGACTTACTTATAACAATTATTAATTAAAGTACTTAAATAAGTAATAGCGTGCATCAATGTGCCAATGGCCGGACAGCCGAAATAGGTGATCCAATGTCCGGAAGTAACCCTACAGGATACGCAATGAACTGTTTTTATAATTTTGACAAAAGTAAGATATTATTTAATAAAGATCAATTTGAATTAGTTGTTTTTTGTCATTAAATATTAATTTATATTAATATTTCCCATCAGCGTATTAATTTTATAATTGTGGTCGGACACCGCAGGACCATTATGTATGTCCGAAGTCCGGAAATTTGGCCATAACCAGCTATAATTTATTTCAGCTATCCGGCCACTGATACATTGACGCACTCTATTACTTATTAAAATATTTCAATTAATAATTGTTATAAGTGGGTATTCGAATAATTCGGTTAAAATTGAAGTGGATCCAAATAAATCGGTTAAAATTGAACGAAAGGAGAGTGAAAGTCCGAAGGGGTTAAATTCTAAAGCAAATCGCGCAAATCTTTACGCAGGGACAAATCTCGCAGGAAGCAAGAGATTAGAGAATCCGAAAAGAATTTGGACGGACGCCATCGCTGAGGACTTCCCATTGTCGGTTGCATTATTGTCAGTGGAAGTATCTGTTCCGATCAATAATCTGCTGGAAACATCCGTCTGCCTTGCCGAGTTACCCAGCTGACTGGCCAGCTCGTTGAAGGTGGTGGTAGCGGAGTAGCAGCCAGTATCAGCAACCGGCAGTAGCAAGCACCTGCCGTGTTCCCCCCGTAGTCCCCGCGTCGTGTTCGCGAACGCGCGACCGTCAAACCGTGAGTCACTACCATCGTTTCGTTGCATGTTAACGTTTACCTGCCCGCGCTAAAGCTCTATATTAAAGAGCTTTAGTCCGCACGCGCCCACCACGCTCTCGCAAAGTGATGTATTACATGCAACAACGTAACATTATGCGCCGCGCAAAAAGAGACATAATGGGACCAGCATAGCGTACTATCTGCGTCCGAATCGATTGCGGACACATTATTACAAGACGATCCATTCTGACGCTCTCCGCTCTGGATTACATTCCGATTATAGTCGAATTGACGTGAACACAAGTCGATGAATTCCGGGGGAAGGAAAAATGCGGACACGATGTGTAGGAATAGATACTAGCGCGTTGCATGCTCTCGTTGTGTTCCGTCGCTTTACAACAATACAATCGACGATTCGCACGACTTTTTTATTTTTGGAAATCAATTCTATATATAAAATGTACGAATGTTCGATGACTCTCTCGCGATTTTGCAAATTGAAAGAAGCGATACGACTGCATGAAATGCGGACGAAGAATATATTGCGCGATTGTCTCTTCTTAAGAAATACGAGGGGTCAGTCCCGGCGTATATTCCTGTCGCTCCTGAGAATATAGCGGGTCATCGCGATAAAAATGATGTGGACGTATTTCAGTGGGCAATTTAAAAGACCGGATAATACGCCGGAGGTTACGGATATAGACTCCGACGCGGACGCAAGCCAGAGTTCCGGGAGGGCGGAGGCGCTCGCGCATAAAATATTCAAGAGAATTGATTCCGAGGGTGAATGCAGCAGCAGCAGTAGCAGACATCTACACCACCGCGACTATTCATGGCGATAATGACGTCTGCAAAACCGTGAAATCCTTACGCTCCGATGTCTCTCTCAGTATAAATGATAAAAAAGAAAAAAAAATACCATTATAACTTGTCCTCTTACTTCGTCTTTATGTTGTTTTCGATAAAAGATTTTTTTTAATAAAAAAAAAAAAATATTGGGAGTATATTTTTTAATGGCAACTTTTTAAATTGATTTGAATTTTTCAAAATTTTGATAATATAGATAATTCAAGATATTATAGAAAACTTCAGTAATGTAATTTAAAAAAAAAGGACTGTTAAATTAGTATATTTTGGGTACACAAGAAGATAAAAAAACAAAAAGGAAGAATTAGGAAGGAAAAATTATTTGTTCATTTTTATATATTTTAAATTCTCTCATTTCTATCTATAAACTCTCGTTTCTATTATCGCTATGATGTCCTACTTTCGAATTCTTTCTTGTTCTTCTACCCTTTTGCACTCCAGATTATACTATTTTATTTTTTTTTGTTATCATACTACTAAAGTCTTATATAATACCTTATCTCTCTATTGTCATTTCAATTTTAAAAAATTCAAATCAATTTTAAAAAGTATCATATTGTCATTAAGAGATATATACTCCTAATATTGTTTTTAAAAATGTCTCTCTGAAACCTTTTTTCCAGTTTCTATGTTAGGTTTCGAAATTAGTCGTGTGTCGACCTAAAGTCTGTTAGACTTCAATTTCAACCGTGCACTTTTTATGTGGTGTAATTTTCGCGCTAGATTTTACAGCAATCTTATGTTTATAGCAATCTGAAAGATTATAAAAACCATATACTCACCAAACTCACTCCCAATTTGAATTTATACGAACTCTTCACGACACTGACTGATTGAAGAAAATTCTCAAGTGGCAATTAATAATCCTCGTATCACATTTGGAGATATTGTTCATAGATTATTTCAATCTATTTCTATTCGACGTAGATATTTCGATATTTCACACAAACCTTGCAATATCTTAAAATTGAAAATACGATACACTATTTACTAATAACATCACGCGCGCGCGATAAATTATCAAGAGCTAATTAAATATTCTTATTCGATTAACTTCAATTCAATGTCGGCGCGATTAGCGAGCTCATTCTTTCCTTTTGCAAGAATCCGAGATCGTTTTATCAAATTGGTTGTTAGTCACGGTAGTTCTATCCGAACTAACGACTGCCATTGAAGAGCACTGGCACCATCAACCACCATAGCACCATTCTACCGCCATCTTCTTACCTGTACAAATGGTACCACTACGACAGGTATAGCAGGTGCGCGTGCACGATCGCCAGGGTTATCGATTACAGTCATTACTTATTTCAAAGGTTCATTCTCGCGCGAAAAATGCGACGAGATAGCTCGATCAGAATAAATTTAAATATAACGATTTGCAAGGGTTGCAGGACACAACCCTCTCCATCCTATTACTTCGCGCGAAACAAGTTTCGTGAGAGAAAGACTCGAATCAGTAAACTGCCGAATTGTAATCTTTTCTTCTTTGCATTCTCAATCGTTGATATATCTGATGTAAAAATTATATCATGTGTCCTACGATATTATTTTTTAAATGGTAATGGAATTCATAATGAAAAATTCAGAGTTGGGTAGTGCTAAATTAAAAAGATAAAAGTTAAGTTAAAAAGTTAAAAAAGTTAATTAATTTTAATTTAACTTAGTTACATTTTAGACTCTTAACTTTTTAACTTAATTTAGTTATATTTTATCGGTAACTATTAACTTGTAATTTGATTTTTTTTTTAAGTTAATCCTCAGACACAATGCGAGAGGATAATGAGTATATAATTTAGTAATTTTATATTGTATAATCGTTACTTGTGAACAAAAATAACCAGATTCTTTAATAAATATGTTGTGAGAAAGGAAAAATACGAAAAATTATGTAAAATGGTCAAACTTTTTCTTTTTATTTTTTTTTTGGTTGTTCGTTCGGACTAAATTTAACTTTTAATTTTTCAATTATTTTTTTTATTAACTTAACTTTTAATTCAATTAATTTCATTATGAATTAACTTGTATTTTAATTAAGTCAAATTTTCAAGGCTGTTAACTTTAACTTAACTAAGTTTAAAAAAAAGTTAACTTATCCAACCCTGAAAAAATTAATAAGCTTTGAATACTCGTGATCATCGCATAATTTATGGAGCTGGAAATATCAAGAGTAATCAAATTATGGTGAATCTGAGATTGTGATGCATTATGGATCATTGTAACTTCATGAAGAATCTAAGATTGAGGAGGCATTACAATTTTGTGGACGTAATTTATGGGTGTAATTAAAATTAAGCGTTGAGTCTATTAATTTTTATCTTTGTGACATTTAATCTATTATTATATACAATATCAGGCTGCTCCTCGCCCTGATGAAGTGAACTGCAATGTTCACGAAACGTTGGCATTCTAAGAATGGATTTGGACACGGAGATAACCCGCGAAACGCATAATTTCTGTATAGAAAGTGCTCGTAGAAACCTCAAGAATATAATCTTTTATTATACGTTTAATTAAAATTGTATGTAAATCATATGCGACTAAAAAAAAAATTTGTAAAGTTGAAACCAGTTTCGCTTAATTTTTAATGTATCTAACACATTAAATACAATCAATAAGTTTTTAACATCCTTTGTTATTAACTCGTCTTTGGCCGTTTATCTCATTAGATTGTTATATTGTCTTTTTTTTTCTAATTGTTTATATTACACCAGAATATTTTATAGAATAATTTAATTAGATACAGAAGAGAACACGATTGGCGAAAACCTCTAACGTTCGCACAACGGCGATATTGCACCTGGACCCGCAGGTTTTATAATCTGCCGGTAGACGAACCGCCACGCGGAAGATAAGGACTTACCAATTAGTCGTAAAAGGAATCAGCAAGGCGTGAAAACTTGGCGCACGACGAAGTAAGGGGAGTTTAGCGAGAAGAGAGAACTGCGAGTGTCGATGATTTATTTCCATTACATTATAGCACTCCTGATATTTGATACTCGTATTTAAATCTGTCCTAAGAAAATCCTCAAAAAATGGCCAATGCGGATGTATCCTCGATATCATCTTGGCGACTAGTCTGCCGAGTACTCCTACGATGCTCCTTATGAAAGATGATGGAAATCAAGATTTTTAGACAAAAAATAGTTATGCATTTGTACAGAATGGACTGTAATTCGTGAAACAATGGAAAAGAAAACGATTATTTATGCAAAGATAAATCGGAAAAGATGTAAAATATTTTCTTTTAAAGAATTCCTCGGATTTTCTGAAAGCCCAAAATCTTTGTTGCTCTTAAAAATCGATTTCCACGTAAAAAAAAGTTGCTTTTGACTTTAAAACTGACGTTATTTTGTTTCACTTCTCTCCTTTTCCCAAGTTCATGCTCTCTTTCAATCATTCGCAAACGAAAATATCTTGAGATTTCTGTTTCAGATTATCCAGAATCGAGATATCATACACTGCGTTTTTTGTAGTGCATCGTATGGACGTCATTAACTTAGAACTTAATAATGAACATATCTGTATCAAAGTTTTATTAAAGATAGTTCACTATACGTACCAAAACCTACAAAATTCTAGTGCAGATTTTTCCAAAAATTCTCAAAAGCGTCGTTTGTTAGACTTTCAAAGAGGTCCCTTAAAGCTCAGTTTCACAACTCACGATTAACGCTTAACCGAGGCTCAACTTATTTCTCATCTCTTTCCAATTCTAGCATTAGAAAGAGATGAAGAATAAGTTAAACCTCGGTTAAGAGTTAATCACGAGTTGTGAAACTGGGCTTAAGAGAATTTAAGTCATTTAATCGGTGAGAGAAAAAGTCAATTCTATCCTTACGGACATGCACAACACAAAAAGTAACAATAAATAACAATAAAGTCAGAAGGTGTTTTGTATATAAAAATGTAATATTTTTTTTTCAATTTATCTTTACATAAAAAATCAATTTTTTTTGTACCACGAATTACAGTCCACTGTACATGTACAAATACAAGTTCATATACACATATCCGCATAAATATGTGCATACATACATGCATATGCATGATCCGCTAGAAATTCTAATATAAATATAAATATTTCATTGAATAAGTCGCGTTATTGCGCGAATTACATGAACCGAAGAAAACGTTGTCAGGGCGTGATGTATACCTACATATTGTATTGTGTGAGCGCGCGCGCGCGCGCGTATGTGTTTAAGAGTCGGAGGGAGCGAAGGAAAGGGAGAGAGACGGAATACCAGGAGAAAAAACGTACGTGCATACCGATTGTAATTCAATTTAACAAACGCCAGCTCGCCAGCGCGCTTTTCAATAGTCATTCTATTGCGCACACGGTCATTCCATGACCACGAGAATACAAATTCTAAGTGAGACGACGACGCATGTTGACCGAAACAGTCATCGGTTTTCGCTATCTACGAGATATCGTTCGGAGTGCAATAACACCGTTCATACATGGTATTTGGAAGGTAAAAGTTTGAAGAGAACTGCAAAAACCGATGTATTATGATGTGTGACATGCCCTGCAGTCACCTTGCTGCTTTAATTACCGATTCTTATGGTTGATTAGTAGTGAACGGTGTCACTCCGTTATTAGCCATATTGTCCAGAACACCACTGATGTACGCCGCGACATCGATCGTCGCTTCCTCGGCTTGTCTGATGAACGGATGTTCCAGCAGTTTATTGTACTTCGGTCGCTGCGTCTCCTCTTTAATTAAGCTTAACAGATAATACAAACGATTGTCATTCCAAAAGGAACGTGTAGCTGTACCGGCAGAAAAATATGATGTTATTCTACCATGTATTCACAAAGTTCACAAAATCCATAGTGAAGTGATTGCCATTCTCATTGGGGGAAAGTCGCGGCGGATCACCTTGCACTACTTGATACAGTTGTTCAAAGACAGAGTTCCACTTTGGGTATGGAAAATATCCTGTAGCAACCTCCATCAGCGTAATACCTAATGACCATACGTCGCTTCGTACGTCATAGCCACGTGCGCGTTGAGGGTCTATCCTTTCCGGCTAAATAATTACAATATTTATGAAACTTGGCAATTTAACACCAGCTATTCCACCAGTATTTTAGGATTATTAATTACACACGCTGTAAAACTTACAGCCATATATGGTCTACAACCAGCATCACGAGTCCTTGCAATCGAGTCCACAAGCTGGCCAGATATACCAAAGTCGCACAATTTTATGTTACCTCGACGATCCAATAAAATATTACTAGGTTTCACATCCCTGTGAATTATTCTTAGTTTCTCTTTGAGGTAATTCAGTGCCTTTACAGTGGCAACTGTGATTTTGCCTAGAATACATTCCGGTATCCTCTCGTTTAATCTCTCATAGATGAACTTGTAAAACTTATCTAACGATGTATCCATAAGTTCCATGCAAATCCAACAATCTCCCTGTATATGAAATAACAAAATACTCTAATAATTATCTTGGTCATTAATGTGCGACATCATCGAATTATATATACCTCTTTAAATAAAGCGCCATAAAATTGCACAATACACGGGCATTCATTCGATTTCATCACAACTTCCAAATCCATTAACAATTGCTTTTGTTCTCTTTCGTCTACAGTAGAGCGAATTCTCTAAAATATAATTCAAATAACTTACAAATTCTAAATAGAATTTATTAAGTGTGTGCAAAAGTTTTTTGTCATTTTCACATATTTTCGTTTTTAATGCAATAATAGTCATAAAAGTGAAAAATAGTCATAAAATGCAATAATAATCATAAAAGTGTCCTCATTTTCTATGACTTTTGCCTCTCAATTTGGATTTTTTTCGCGAAAAAGACATTGGTTTGAAAGTAATAACATCATCGATCTATTTTCTCATCCCAGCTACATCTCAAAAGTATTATTCAGCTAAAAAATGCATCGATCAGAATGAGTGATAATCAATTCAAATAAATATGCCGCATGCAACCTAGCCTCATTGTGCAGCAAATGACCTTCTAGTTTCCTTGTCTATGTAATGGTTTTTTCTATTTGATTTCATCAATCAAATGAATAAGTAACAATTATAGTATTCGGTAATAATCGTTTCACCTGGTTTGAGCTTATAAATCAGCATATTTTTAATGTTTTATCAGATGCAAAAAAGACCTTATATATGGATATTTAAATTTGCCATTATATTCATTAAATCATGACATATGACGTTTCACAAACTTCAATGCCAACTCTTCAAAAAAATGTAAAAAAAAACAAAAATTTATTTGAATATCAAATAATTATACCAGAAGGCTAAAAAATACTAAAACTTTTGCACACACCTAATTATTGTAATTAAAATTGTAATTTAAAGTCAGAAACACATAGAAAAATGTAAGGGAGCAGTTCACTTGCACACCGTTGCAATTGTCCGTTGTCGATCACAGCAACTTTCACCTAGAGATCTTTTTTCATTTTTTCTAATGCTGTGATTGGTTGGTGTCCAATTGCAACATATACAACTGATATACATTCAAAAGCAGTAAGATGTAAGCAATAAGCAAATTGACAAATCATAACAAAGAATATAACGCATTAATCTTATGTTCTCTGTAATTAGCCAATTCGCTTACTGCCTATGTCTTACTTTCTTACATTTCTCTGTTTCTGGCTTAAATAGAATTGGAAGGAATGAGAATTTTAATTACTTACCTTCACAGCCATAACGGTATTGCTTATCCTATGAATCATTTTATTTACAGTTCCAAATCCTCCTCTTCCTATTTCTCCAAGATCCTGAAGGTCCTCGCTTGTGAAATCATACACAACGTCTGAAGATAATTGCAATTTACCAGTAGTCTGCATAGACTGGCACATTCGTAGTTTTTCTCTACAATAAGCTCCGTTGTAATTTATCTCAAATGATATGCCTTCTTTTTGTTTCTAATTCCATACCTTGCCTTATCAGGAAGAAATTCTTGCTGCTGTAACATATTGCGAGATCTTACTGGCAGCTTAGGTAGAGGTAAAGGCTGACTTGGACGAGAGGATCTATCATCATGAATGGAAAAGTCAGTCTTATTATGTAGAAAGGACAAACACCTATGGAATTATTTTGCTTGCTAAAATCTCACATTGGTGGACACGCCATGGCTCCTGTTGAATTTGACAATAAAGAATTTGTAGAATTGGCAAATGACAAATTATTGCCTTGCGTTTGGAAACTAAGTTTCAGCTGTCTTCGTCTCTCTGCAACAGAACGCAGGATAGTGAGGAAATCACCCTAATATTTCAATTTCTCTCTCTCTCTCTCTCTCTCTCTTTCTCTCTATCTTTGACTCAAAGATCGCATAATGTCGAACGTACCCGACATCTCATTTTGAACGTCATTATTTGTTCGAAAATCCATTCGCGGAAAATTAAAAGATCTGCCAGAACCTGCAATGTTAGGATTCTATTAGAAAGTAACGAAGGAAACTTTGAGACCGAGAATCATGCGTCGTTCGACGAAATCGTGGTCCTCGCTTCTCCACGGGAGTCGGGACTCGTGTCACCGCGGAGATAAGATTAGGTTAAGTTATCCATGAAAAACAGCATCGTGTGTGCGCGAGAGTGACAACAACATACCTTGACCGGTCTGACTGGATAAGTTGCTCTGATTCTCCGCCATTCTGGCAAGAATCGCCCTTGAACCTCGCGTTTCGCGCCCGCACGGAATCGTCAAAGGCGCTTCTTTTAGGAGACCTTCTCGCAGGATCTCAACAGTCTGGCATATACATTATGCAGCAGTCGCACCATTTGTATTGTCGCGCGATCCAAAAGGAAAGATCCCGTTGCCCGCTTTCAAGTTCCGAGACGATAATCAACGATAACTACCGAATCACAAGTCACCGAACCTATGAATCCTCACGAAATCTCACTCACTCGTTAGAGTTATCACGAATCACGAGCATCCGACCGCTTAAGGTACTTTTCCATGGACTGTTAGACGTCAATTGACGCTCAAAAACAGGTTCGGGTAAGGTTAGATCAGTTTAATAACCAAGCAGAACAAAAAAGTCATGATAATGTTGAAATGACGTCAAAATAACTTCAAAATGATTATTAAAAGTAATTTTTCGATTACGATAAAAAAATTATCAAATTATGATTTCGAAATTTGAGACGTTATTTGAAGTATTTTACAATTGTAAAATACCGGAATCACAATTTTCACACCCGAACAACAGTTTGAAAAAATCATCGATATGATCTGTTTTTTTATTGCTGCACCATGATATAAATATTTATATCATGTGCTGCACTTTCTGAACTGGTATACGCAGTACAATAAGTTGAAGTGAAACAAACGTACGTTTGTTTCACTTCAACTTCCCTATAAGCGCAAAATGTTCCTAGAATGTTACATGAATATTATTAAAAAATTAAAATAATGGCTACGTTCAGCAGACTCAACAGTTTTGCAACCGTTTTATGATTGTCTGCTGAGATAGGACCATTCTTCTAGATCTAAAAGTATGATCCAATTAGAGCGAAGGAAACTTCCAACAGTTGCAAAACAAACGTTCTGCTGAACTGGACGAGTACCGAATCGCGCAGTCGCACCGAGAATAGCGCTTGCGTAGAAGCGCTGTCGTCATCGATAGTCAATATGGCTGCGTTCAGCAGAGAAAGCAGTTTTGCAACTGTTGTAAAATTCTTGAATATGATTGGTTCATACATTTAGATCCAATAAAGAACTAAGGGAAAGACCAATCATATTCAAGAATTCTACAACAGTTGCAAACCTGCTTTTTCTGCTGAACGCAGCCAATCATAAAACGGTTGCAAAACTGTTGAGTCTGCTGAACGCAGCCATTGTATTATGCGCAGTGTTGTTAAGGCCATCACACGTACAAAAATTTTAGTCGGAATCGTAAGGTCGCAAGTAAATCGATCAATCACAATCAAAATTACGATTTCACGTTTAAAAACGCTCGACTGTGATTGGCCGATTTAGCCATGCGCTAAAAAAGGCGGCATACCTAACAACACTGATTATGCGGGGTTTACAATAGAAGTCGTAGCGGTCGTAGAGTCTTAAGTCGTAGAAAATTAACCAATCACAGTCGAATATGATGGCCGTTCTACAATAAGCCATTAGTCATAAATCAGAAGTTAGAAGCTGGAATTTGACGACTGTGATTGGTCAATTTTCAGCTTCTTACTTCTGAATTATGACTAATGGCTTATTGTAGAATGGTCATGAGAAGAATAATCGACTGTGATTGGTTAATTTTCTACGACTTAAGACCCTACGACCGCTACGACTTCTATTGTAGACCCCGCATTAGTATTTAGTACCACATGGTGGAAAAATAAAAAACAGATCTCGGAGTCTCGGACCTCTTCTCATGTTACGAACAGTTGCTACAATTGCTATTAGAAGAATGATTAACCCATGTTTATTTGTTACATCGTCTACAAAATTATTAAACAATTATGGATTGGCAAGGTGATAAAATAAATAATTTTTATAAATAAACTATGATCTCTCTTTTTGACAATTATCTTGATCGTTCTATCGTATACTTACAATTTTCATACATTTATAAAAATGTAAATAATTTTAGATATTACTTCACGAGTCTTAAAAGAGGATATAGCGTCTTCCCATCCAATTATGTTAGACCAGTATATAGTAAAGAAGAACAAGAAACTCTTTTTCAAAGCGATGAAGCAAAGAAGATTTTACATGAGCGAGTGAAACCAGCATTAGTCACTGACACATGCTCCGAATTTTATGATAAAAGAGTGCTGTGAGAAACTGTTCTAATTTCAGTTTTTTTTCAATTCAGACTTTTTTGTACCATCTTGTAACTTATTCTTCAATTGTGTTTAGGAAATTTATTAATACCCTTATGAAGAATGGAAATAAGAAATTAGCGACAACATTGGTAACTAAAACTTTCGAAAATGTCAAAAGAATACAACTGGAGCGTTATCACAAAGCAACAAGCGAAGCAAAAGCTGAAATTGAATTGGATCCATTTGTGGTTTTCCACCGTGCTGTCGATAATTGTATACCGATTTTACATTTAACAGGTTGTAGGAAAGGAGGAATCACATATCAGGTAATATACTAGAAATTGAAATTGGAACATTAAGAAATATTTTGAGATAAAAATCTATAAGTATGTTAGAGGTGTGAACAAATGATTAAAGTTTTAAAAAATTTATTGCACAAATTTTTATCTCTATTCCAAGCTCATTCTATATGTTCACAAAGCTGTGAGACTGAAGCTGTAAGTACTATCTTTAAAACTGCATAGCATCATATATTGTATCCCTTGCAAGTTAAGGCTTAATACTAAACATGGATTTCTGAAACTTTAATCATTTGTTTATATAATTCCTATAAAAAATAAAATAGTTCCGTTCTAATTAAATGTCTACTTTTAGTGTTGTAATATTAATTTTCAACAGTGTATATTGTTAAATATATTAATTATGTAACAATTGACGAGATAAAATCGATCTTTTTAGGTTCCCATTCCAATTACACCTATAAAAGCACAGCATAAATCCATGTTATGGTTAATTCAAGCTGCAAATGAAAAAGACTCCAATTTGAGATTTTATGATGTATTAGCCAAGGAATTAGTAGCAGCTTCTCAGAATCAGGTGCACAATTTACATTTTAATAAAAATATAAAATAATTTCTACATTGTGATGCACATAATATGCTATATGTATACAAGGTATATACTAAGTATGCTAAAAGATTTTAAGTGGTGATTCTTCATACAAATTTAAGACGGAAACTTTATATATCTGAAACGATTTAGTTTCAAAGATACAGGGTGTCAAAGTTGAAAAAAATTTTCGTTTTTTCCAAAAATTTCGAAAGTCATTCGAATTATTTTGATGAAACTTTGTATGTATTTCAAGAACATGAAGCCTCATCTTTTGGGGCTATACATTTTTTTTTGAAGCTCCAATATGCTCTTATGGCAATATTCATAGTTGGATCTTATATTTAAAACCATCTTAAGTAGTCTTAAAATATCATGAATAAATCAGAGAGCCACATCTTATTTTCTTTACTTATCTTTTTTTTATCTTATTTTTATTCAAACGTGTTAGGACATGTTGGTGTTATGTGACAAATCTACAGGCAGATTCAAGGATAAGCAAGTATCCTTTCTTAAAATATAATACCCGCTTATCCTTGAGTTTGCCCCTGATTGAATAAAAAAATGTATAGCCTCCCCTAAAAGAGGCTTCATGTCTTTTAAACGTACAAAGTTTCATCAAAATAACCTGAATAATTTTCGAAATTTTTTTTCAACTTTGACGCTCTGTATCTTTGAAACTAAGTTATTTCAAATATATGGTTAAGTTTTCGTCTTAAATTTGTGTGAGGAATTATCTCTTAAAATTTTTTAGTATACACTCTATATAAGACATATTACAATGACATCTATTGTCTCAGGGTCGTGCGGTTAAATGGAAGCAAGAATTACACAAGAAATGTCAAGCTAACCGGGCTTATGCACACTTCAGATGGTTGTAGATAACAGTGAATTCAATCACTTGAATTCAATCAGATTAATATATATTAAGGCTCAAATACAATGAAAAAAAAATAAACAAGAAGTAACAGATTTCAACCTATCAAAGACCTACATTCTGGTTTCTGGTTAAAAATTTGTTATTCTTTGCTCCTTATTTCTTTTATTATTTTTGAGCACCCCAAATACAGTAAGATAATATGGTCAATTTTACCATTTATAATTAGCTTGATTGGTCTATTAAGTGTCAATTGTAATTTGTTAATTCTACTTAACAAGAAATATTCAAATTGATTAGAGATGGTGAAACCAGCCCATAATCAACTTTTGACGATGAAATAATATATTTTGTTAAATAATATGTGACAATATCATTACTCAGCACTCAGTAATGATATTGTCACATTATTTAACCATATATATTCTTTCAAATTGTATGGATTCACACATGTGACTGCATTAATCACAAGAATTTACTGAATGCTCAGTAATGATATTGTCACATTATTTAACAAAATATTTCGTCGTCAGTTGTTTAAAATATTTACATGTTTTACATTTAATTTCATTAATTTCATATATAGCAACTTTTTTTAGTACTTAATCTAGAATAATCAAAGTAATCAAATTCGCTATAAAATAAGTTCTATATGTATGATTAAACTAATTTTGAAATATAATGTTTTGTAGAAATACTTTATACAAATTTAACAAAATTGTTAAACCATTCCCAGAATACATTTAAATTTGTCAATATCGATTATTCGTCCCATCTTCATATTTATTTTTAAGATCTCTGTTTGTGAAGTCAGTATTATTTTTTTGTATAAAGGATCAGTGAAACTGATCGGGTTATCTGACATGGGATAAATTTCATTGAAAGAAACTTTCAAGTCTATCCTCTTTCCCCAATAGTCTATATAAGATAATATCACTTTTTTTTCATCCAATTTCAAATATACATATCCTACGAGATTGTTGCATAAAATTCCAAGAGAATGCAGCCACATTATTGTTAGAACTTCTGTGAATAAAAAGAGAAAATATTTATTTATATAAATCAATTTTACTTGAGAGAAATTTAAAATATGTTTATATTTTACCAGCTGCTATTGACACAATAGTTGTGTCAAAGGACAAGATGCTAGCCAAGTGAAGTCCAATGATCATTGGTGTAGCTACTCCAACAAATATAGTAAATCGGTATTTTACAATATTTAGACCACAAACTTGCTTGATAAAAGGAAATGTATAGATCACTTCATAATCGGGGAATTTCGTGGAGACAATTTCCACTTTTTGCTTCTCCTCATTTTTATTCGCAACATGACTTATTGTTTTAATGTTCGAATAACTAACGCTGTTCGAAGTACGATATAAAAATCGTTCGCAAAGATTCAACAAGAGTCGGGAATACATTACGTATACACGTAACGTATACTATAGTATCTCTTCCTAGTTTTCGTTTCTTTTTAAGAATAGAGGAGGTTAGATATCTTGGGCCAGTCTTAACTTTGACGGCCAAATTAAATATTGCCAACTGCAAGACTTGAAAACATTTTCTGGCAGGGCGCCGATTGTCGAATACTTACGTGTTCGACTCGTATGACTTTTTCATAATTGAGAAATTGATAATTAATAAGAACCTGTGCTGTTATTATCACATAGTTCTTCACAGCTGCCAGAAAATTAGGTTATGTTTTCAGTCTTGCAGCAGAGAGAAGCCTGAAAACGGCCATGCCCGGAATTTAGCTGCAACCTTATTTTGAAGCGCCTCTATGTCCACAAAACGTGGACATTGAACTACGTAGCCAATGTCCACAATCCCGTCGGTAATGTCCATGATTTTTTGATTGTATTCTTCGCTATGTCCACGATTTTTGGTCCGTTAAGCTGATTTTACATGAAGCTGGTTCTACATTATGATGGTTTTACATTAGTCGTATCGCGGCGTCGCAAGGGTTGCAGTCCAATCAGAGTCGAACTAGCTGTAGAACTAGCTTTAGTCGCATCGCAATGGCTGCGTTCAGCAGAGAAAGCAGCTTTGCAACTGTTGTAAAATTCTTTAATATGATTGGTTTATACGTTTAGATCTGTAAGGAACCAAAAGCAAGAACCAATCGTATTGAAGAATTTTACAACAGTTGCAAAGCTGCTTTTTCTGCTGAAC